TTGAATCGATAGCGTTTAACAGACGGGCGCTGTTTCGGGCGTTACGTTACAAAATACTACGCAGACAGCGTTAGCTGGGAGATCGATCACTTTGCTAAACTATGCGGTAGCCTACTATTAAATTCACGTAAACTACACATCACAGCCATGAGGCCAGATCAATGAAACCAGGATACATCCTTTACCGTAAAAACTGGATCCAAACACAGCTGCCTGTGTGCGCTTGATCAATACTTTCTGATGTTATATTTATGATATGCTACATATTAGCTAGGCTACATGGCCCTAACTTGTAAAGTTATATAAGCATTTGTACCAGTGCTTTTCACAAGTAGACTCTTGCAGGCCAGAGTATAGGAGTGATTCAACAACAACACAAAGACATATGAGAAGTGATCAGGACGAACAGAAAGAGGAAAAGGAAAAGAGAGATGAAAGGACCAGGAGGGTCAGAGCAGGAGGAAGAGGAGGAGATGAAGAGACCAGGAGGGTCAGAGCAGGAGGAAGAGGAGGAGATGAAGACATTATTGAAGAAGAAGAATAAATATATGTGAGGAATAAAGATGAAGTATCAGAAAGAGGGCCAGAGGCAGTGATCAGGAGGCAGATGAGACTCCAGCTGGACCACATGGTATGTTCTTATTCTCCTTACATATTCCATTACAGCAGCTCAATCTAGCAGCTCTTAGTATTGACAAATATTGATTGAAATGTGTTGCTGCACAGGTCACCTGTAGCTCTCTGAAGAGATGGGTGATGTCATTTGTGTACTTAATTATAATTAAGTACTTACAGTATGCAAAATTCTGAGTATTCTCTGAATCGGGTGCCTTTTGGGTCTTTATATCTTTGAAAAATGAAACCAAAATGTTTGGTCATAACATCTGGTAGTAGACTACTTACATTTTCCCACCTCAGGCACAAAATATAAATAATTACTAGGAATTTCCTTGAAAAAATGTAACAGAGTTGAAGTTTTTGACAAAAAGTAGCCATGAGACATTGTTTAGCTAAGATATGGCACCACATGGAAGTCAAGGACATTACAACATTGTAATATTTTGCAAAACTATTGTTTATATTTGTAATAAACAATTATTTACTATTATTAATTCATACAACATAGTTGAAATGTTGAGCTTGTCAATCTTAATCTGAAAATACAAAAACTGAAATATAGGTAAGAGAAGAAACTGACACTTTTGTGATGTAATTCCCTCAATGCAGATCACACATGGACTGATCCACACATGGACTGATCCACACATGGACTGATCCATTATTTTAATAGGAGGGTAAATGGTATGGCGTGACGGGGTTGAAACAAACTGAGGGACAATATTGCAATTTCATAGATAATTCAAGTATTTTTTCAGAATTGATTTTTGATCAGTTAAAGTTGACAAGCATTAGCAGCAACATTTTGGGATAATTGGCCATTTTGATTTGTTTAATATAAAATAATGTGTAATAATGCTTAGTGAGGACATGCAAATATGTCTGTCTAAGACAACCAATTGTTGTTTCTGTCTAAAACTAAATATATATTTAATTTTACATTGTAATGCAAAACAACCTGTGCCATTAATTCATTGCTTTAAAATACATTTTGTAGTTTCCTTTCATTTAAAATGGTTGAGGTAAGCTTGGGGGACTCAAAGGGCACCCGATTGTTTGTCTGAACACCTTGTTTCTCTTGTGCATTAAAGAACACTTGTGTTAGGGCATGAATTAACAATAAAAAGGTTATATACAGTATAAAATACCACGTACTGTCCGCCCTCCTATGCCACCCTGGCATGACCTCTTGCCTCTCCTTTGCCCCCCCATGTAAAATGTTCTAGAACCGCCACTGAGTTAGTAAGATTGATTTCAGTAGCCACTTGTCTGGAAATACCGAAGACCAGAAACGGTTTTGAAAACTTTTGTCACGTAGTGATCGTCTTCACAATAGAACATCTTTGATCATGTCTTCTGGCCAATCAGAATCACGATAACGGCGTGGTGTTGTTGCAGGAAGTCCCGACGGAGAATACTTTTGCTGTAGTACATCTCAATACATCGAAACAACATTACGTGTTGAGAGAAATCAACACGTAATGAAATAAGACCCCACAGTTTGATGATTGATAGGTGTGTGGGCTGTCTTTCATTTTGACACACAGAATAATGGGGGCTATCCACCCTTATCCACAATGTAAAGTAATTCACAGCCTCTTCCCTCTTCCCTCTTCCCTCTGTGAGGAGCAGCAGGTTCAGCTATCAGAACAAAGTAACAACAAACTAAAATGGCATTCATTTTTTTAAATATGCCGTGTAGTAATAGATTTATTTATTTTTCTTCTCAAGAGAGTACCAGAATGTGTATTTTATGTTAGTATTTCAAAAATCTCCTGGGGGAGAATCCCCGCAGACCCCCTGCAGGGGTCGGGTTTTCAGGATGTCAACTCTTTCACCTATACCTTTTTATTGTGTGATTTTACTCTGAAATGTGTTTGCCTTTTTAACTGGTTTTAACTTCCTTTTGCATGATTTGATTTTGAAATGTTTGGATTGGCCTTGCCATGCTGATAGACAATGAGTGACCACACCTGGAGCCAATTTGCACCAACAGCCCTGCCTATAAATGGAAGGAGAAGAGCAGCAGAGGACAGACTGAGACTGAGAGAGACTGAAGGAGACAGCAGAGGCAGAACGCAGCAGGAGCAGAGGCACACGCAACCAAGGGATTAAGAGACCACGGCAGTCCAAGAGAGGGTCTTGGACTGACCCACTGAGATTGTGCCTCATGTGGCTCTGGGTTCATAATGAGTTATGACCAGCAGAGATAAAAGCAGTATGCGAATCCTGCCTGGGGTCAGAGCACGCGTACGCGGCTCTAAACCAGCAGGTAGCATGCACACACTGCGCCCGTCTCCCCTCGGGCGACAGGAAGTGGAGAGCGGACGCTCTTGCTGCTGCGGCCGAGGAGGATGAAAGGCCCGTCCAGGCTTACGAGCCCGCGGACGGGGGCCGAGTGTCCCTGGGGCAGAGTGTCCGTGGGGCCGAGTGCCGGGCAGTAGTCCAACAACTCCTGCCCCGCCTCCCTCCACGGTTCACCGTTCGGTTCTCCCCTCCCTCCTGTCCCCCGGACAGCTGTGCGCCTCTCTCCTGCCTCTCGGCACGCGGAGAGCGGCCCTTTTCCCTCTTATGAGAGGGATGTTCCTTTTTCCTCTGACACACTTTGTACGGAGTGTTTTGTCAGAGTGAGTGACGTCAGGGATCCAGCTGTGTGCTCTCCTGCCTGTCTGCACACAGAGAGCTGCTGTTCCCCTTCTTTTTGTCACTGAGCAAAGTATGACCTTCGTCTCTACTTTTTCACAGCGGCCGGTATGTATTGTTCCCAGCCTTCGTCCCCTCATGGAGAATATTCATGTTATGCTATATTCCAGGGACGGCGATGCGCCATTACGCATGGCGCAATAGGCATGGGTTGTTATTGAGCAGGTGTGTCTGTGCTTCTGGTACCAGGCGGACCCAGTGGGGCGCAGACTACATCATGCTTCGCCCTTAACCCAATAGCGATAGCCTTAGAGGGCGAAGCCATATACGAAATATAACTGAAGTTATACCTACTGTAACCCCAGCTTCTATGAGTAAATTGGCTCCACGAATAGCTGAAGAAAATTTATTTTGTATGGGAGCAGATTGCCGGGCCTCCTTCCTATTTATACCGGAAGGAGGCCCGAGGGTGGGGCCCAGCTTGCGGGTGGGCGTGGACTACAAGTTTTCAGTGCTGCGCAGGGGGATTACCCAATAGCGATAGCCTTAGAGGGCTACTCCAATACTCATAGAAGCTGGAGTTACAGTAGGTAACTTCAGATATCATTTTTGCACTCATGTATCTATTTACCCACCAGAGGTCGCCAGCAGACATGGCAGTGTCCAAAGACACTGAACCAGGGCTCCAGGTTTTCTGTTTGATTTTAAAATAGGTCAAATATAATCTAGCTACGAGGGATGCTAATAGAAAGAAGAATAAAGGATTTGAAGGAAACTTCTTCCATGACATAGATCAACATCAACACGTTAAATCAATCAATAGCTCCAACAATAATTACCGGACCATTGTGTGATTCCTTCCAGTCCACTTGATTATGTGTGTGTTCATGTTGGCTTGAAACTAACAGGTATGTGAGTTTCTCACGTCTCAGTGTACTGCATGTCTCTGAAACAGAAGCAACCTGACTGCAGAGAGAACCGAGAAGAAACAAACCAAGATAAATTATATGGCATTTTCCATTATCTCTTATGATGAATACTGTGCTCTTCATGCTGTTCAGTAAAAAACTGCCTTGTGGTTTCACAGGTTAATGTCTTCCTGTTCCTTCACTACACCTGCAGACTGTGTGACTTCCTCAGTGCTCATAGAGATCAACTGTTATTCTCTTCTTAATTTGAATTATCTTTTCTGATGTCAGTGGTATATCGGCAGCCATCCATCCATCCATCCATCTTCTCCCGTGTATCCGTGGTCGGGTCGCGGGGGTAGCAGGTCCAGCAGAGAGCCCCAAACTTTATTTTCCCTGGCGACATCAACCAGGTCTGACTGTGGGATCCCAAGGCGCTCCCAGGCCAGCGAAGAGATATAATCCCTCCACCTGGTCCTAGGTCTACCCCTTGGTCTCTTCCCAGCTGGACGTGCCTGGAACACCTCCCTAGGGAGGCGCCCAGGTGGCATCCTAACTAGGTGCCCGAACCACCTCAACTGGCTCCTTTCGACGCAAAGGAGTAGCGGCTCAACTCCGAGTCCCTCCCTGATGACCGAACTTCTCACCTTATCCCTAAGGGAGACACCAGCCACCCTGTGAAGAAAACCCATCTCGGCCGCTTTGGCAGCCAAACAAGTTAAAGCTAATGCTTATTTTGTTTAAGAAAAGTATATTTTTTGAGAACAAAACATAACTGTGTGATGGGTGTTTACTGGCGTTTGGCTCATCATGCATACTAATAATCTAAAGAGGAAGGAAAGCTCTTAACAGCCTGATATCCGTCTGCTGCTCCTTGACGACAGAGGAAAGTTATCTTTAAACACATCGTTCTTCCTTCACTGTGAGTAGAAACAGTTTATTGATGGAATGATTCTGTAAACCTCCTGTGAACATTATTTAATCTGACATGTATTATAGTCTCACAGAGATGAGAGGAGCAGCTATGAGTTTCACTGCAGCAGCGAGTGGATTAGTCGTCTTCCTGCTCTCTGTGTCAGGTACTGTACATCTACACCTACATTCATCACAGGAACAGAGGGGATTCTGGGAAAATGTGGGACTTGTAAAACCAGGTCTCATGTGGGAATAAGTGGGATGGATTTGTGTAAAAGGCAAACCTAGTAGAAACATTTTAAATGTATTTGTGTGTAGAATTGGAGAAACACAAAGACGTTACTAGTTTGTTTGATGGATTTTCTGAAGATCTTGTCGTGCGTTGCCTCTGTCCTTTGCTCGAGTCATCTGCATAGAATATCAATTTGCTCATCACCTTTACAAGCGTTAAAATGAGAGTATAGTGTCTGCATAACTGTTCCATCCTCTCTCTGTGAAAACACTTTGCTTTGTTTTTTTCTTAAGACGACTTAAAGAATCTCCAGCTCTGTTTTTATTAAGTTGAAGTGATTTAGAGAGATATTCTTATTCTAAGTCTTATCATATTGACTGAACTCTTATCGATCATACGTCTGCCCCAAACCCTTCTAGTTCCTTCTCTCCTCTCTGACCTCAGTGTTATTTCCCACACTCTGAGTTACAGTAGTCTTCTTCTTTTTCTTATCTGCATCAGACAGAAGCTGCTCACACCTCAGTGCTCTGCATTCATAGTTATTGTTCAGATACCTCAGCAGCAACCTGACCACAGAGCGAACAGAGCGGGAACTGGAACAAGAATCACACACTGTTATAATTAACCCTTTAACTGCCAGACCAAGACAAAAGCAATGGAAAACATATTTGGTTTGCATATTTTTATCAAATGGGCCACAAATAACCACACAGTTTTGTTTTTTTGAGCCTCTACCATCTGGTCGAACTGGCTTTCTATGGTAAAAGTGCATTTTCAAGAATCATCATATACAGTACAGTACAGTATTTATCAAACTCAAATAAAACACAAACTCAAATACGTGTGTTTCTTTTATGGAAAATGAGCAATATATACATCCAGATATATTCATAAAAGATAATAAATTATAATTGTAAAAAAATAAAATGGAAAAAAGTAATGTCAAGGGTTTTTCATGATAAAAAAAGACTTGCTCATTTTACTGTATATGCTGAATTGGCCTAACAGGAAACCACTGGCCGAACAGCAAATGTCTATATCCTGTGTTGGCCTAACTTGCTCATCTGTGTGCAACTTTGGGCTGAATGCCATGCATGAAAGGTGCTATAAAAATGATTATCACTCTTTCACTCTGAGACTCATAAGGCAGTACTAGATTTAGTAATATTATATATATATAATATATTCTTCAGGAGTGATTTTTAGCATGCCAACTTTCTCAGTGGAAGCTAGCTGAAGGGCTTTCTGTTCGAACCACAGTGACATCTAGAGGTTGTTTTGTGCATAACATGTCAACCAAAGGGTAGAGCTGGCTGACTCAGATGGAGTAAAACTTTTGAATTTGTATTCAAACAAGATATCAAGACAAAAAATGTGCTGGCAGTTAAAGAGTTTAATATGATCGCTAATCCTTCACTGTTCATTTATATGACTGCATTTTCCAATCTTGTGTCAAACTGATCATACCCTTTCTGCGTAGACTTCTGTTCTACATGGTTTGATTAAGAAACAACAAAGTCAAAGAGTCTCATTGGTTTTAAAGTGCCTAAGAAGGAATTCACATGTGTGTTTCTGCTCTATCCCAGTAAAGTCTGTAACATGTTTATCTTTACATTCTTTGTTGAAAGTACTGTTCAGGCAATTCCTCAACAATGTATAGATTAACTTTGATTCTAGTTTCTGATGTGCTCTGTGTTTCAGTGGTTCAGGGTGAGCATGGCTGGGGAGTGACTTACTCTTCTACTGAGATCTGTGCAGTGAAAGGATCAACAGTGGAGATAAGATGCAGCTTCACATACCCATCTAGATGGAAAGGTGGTGTTAACACAGTAGAGAAAACGTTCTGGTTCACTGAGAAGAAAGATGGTGAATTTGTCGATCTGACCACAGTCTCAGAGTATGCAGGTCGTGTTGAGGATCTCTGTGAAAACAACATCTGCACTCTGAGACTCAGAAACCTGAGAGAGAGCGACTCAGTTCAGTACAAGTTCAGGATCAAAACAAACCAAGATACATACTTTGGTTATCCTGGACCCACTCTGTCCGTCACAGGTAACATTCACACTGGGTTTATAAGAATAACTTCTTGCAAATAGTGTGAATGTTTTGATTTATAGTCATGTATGAACATAATGACAGTTTTGTTAATTCTAGCTTTATTCAGATCTTCAGGTGCAGGTGAGCAGATCAAGATCATCTACTCTCCTTCAGTGTCTCAGCAGTTGTCCACCTGGTCATACTTCTTACATCTGGTTTAAGAATGGACATGAAGTGAAGGAAGACACATCTCCTGATGCAAACTTCAGATATAATTCAGCAGACTGTTATTCCTGTGCTCTGGAGGGATATGAGGACTTCCCCTCTCCTTCAGTGTGTGAGTTTACTCAAAGTCTTCCACTGACATAATAACATTAACATAAAGTATAACATATATCATCATTGCACTCATGTATCTATTTACCCACCAGAGGTCTCCACCTGATGGCAGTGTCCAAAGACACTGAACCAGAGCTCTAGGTTTTCTGTCTGATTTTAAAATAGGTAACATATAACCTAGCTACGAGGGATGCTACTAGAAAGAAGAATAAAGGAGAATTATGAAGGAAACTTCTTCCATGACATAAAGATTAACACTTTCCCTCAAAGTGTTTAGATTTCTGATAAAGAATGGAATCAAGTGAACCACCCACTCTGTGTTTTATTAAACTATTGTTCATTAAAACATCTTCCTCTGTGGAATTAAATGTGAAATATGTTCATGTTATCTCCTCCAGATGCTCCAAGCTTTAAAATGTGTTGCATTGTGTTTGTGAAAAACAGTTCCTGCTTCGTGCCTCTGGATATTTGCAAGTTGCCATTATATTTACCCTTCCATGTTAATAACTTTAAACACTTCTCTTCCAGACTATCCAAAGCCTCCCTCTGTGTCAGTGAGTCCCTCTGCTGAGATAGAGGAGAGCAGTTCAGTGACTCTGACCTGTAGCAGTGATACTAACCCAGCAGCTAACTACACCTGGTACAAGGAGGATGGAAATGCACACCTTTCTTCTTTCAATGAAGGACCACGTCTTTTCCTCAGCTCCATCCCGTCCTCTGACTCTGGACAGTATTACTGCAGAGCTGGGAATCTGCTGGGGAACACAAGATCTGAATCCATCTCTATTGATGTGACATGTGAGTGAAACCCAGATCATATAAAAAGCATCATGCAACCAATGGCAACTTGTTCACAGTCTTCTGCTGAGGTCAATGAGATGGAGAGCAGCTACAGTAGATGCAACCCAGTCTCACAAAAAAACGTGTAATAACTACGTTGGTCCACAACTTGGGACGTAGTATTTCTACAAAAACGCCTCTGAAATTGTAGGATCCCTACGTTTTTTTTCACCATTCATTCCAATGGCTGGCGTCTATGTCACGTGATCTTCAAATTTCTCCTTGCAGAAAAATAAACATGGCCGACATTCGTTTTATTCTCGGTTAGTTTGGCCAATAAATTGCGTTTTAATGTAATTTGATGCGAGAAATATGAGTTGTTATTTCAGATTATGTGTGCAGTGGATGTACAGGATCTTTAGTTTGCTAGTTATTACGAAGATTACTTCAGGAAATTGTGTCAATACAACGTTTTCATTGTTACCAAGGTGGTTGCTAGGGACGCTGCTATCGATATTATTTCTGTTATTTTGTGTAACTGTTTAATGGTGTTATCTTTATTGCTACCCCCTTCCCCGTCAATGTATAGTGTTGGTCCACAGCGCAAACGTATTAGTTTAACAAAATCCGCATCTAAAATTGTGGCATAGATACGTTATTTTCCCCTGTGCAATTCCAGTCTCACATCTCACATCACATCGTCATAAACAAATACCGGAAACAGACCGAAAACACTTTATTCCGAGTGTGCTTGCTTTTCTCTTTGGAGGTCATCACATTGTAATACACGGTTCGGCTGTATTAAATTACTTATCTGCCGTAGTTCTCTATTTATAGAGCCCTGATGAGAAGACTTCTAGACAAACATGAGGAACTGAAAACGACATGGATCATAAATATATCAGCCATTAAACAACATCTTACATTTCTTTTCACACAATACGTCTCCTTGCAGTATCAACACTAATTCGGCTGACTTTTATATTTGATCCAATTGGTAGATAGGCTGTATTTACACCATAAAGGTGCACAGCTGATATAAAGGAACACCTAGTGGTTAAAGCATGTTATTGAATTTCATTAGTTTTATTATTAGATACTAATAGGATCCCTATAAAGTATATTCATTACTCGTTATTCTCTACTAATAGTTAATTAAAGACTGTATATGATGACTATTTTGCACATCCCTTTCAAGATTTCAAGATTTTCTAAGGTTTATTGACATATCATATACACAACTACGGTGTATTATGCATTGAATTAAAAACTTGGGTCGCAGGTTCCTCAACAGTGTATTACAAGACATCTATCAATATGTGTGTATACCTCCAGCAATGTTAACTATGTTGAAGCAATTATTTTAACTGATATTATACATATGTATTATGTGTCCAACTCGATTTTGACAGGATAACAACTGGTGACTTCTAGAATTGTGTCTGTATAAATGCTCTGTAGTTGATCTGACTGAAATTGTGATTTTAAATCTCAAAACCGCTACAGTATCTGTCAGGCAGAAACTTGGGACAAGTCATTTGACTGAAACCTTAAAACTGAACTAACTGACTGCTAGGGTTAACTTTGATTTAAACATTTGTAGAATACTAAGAGCTTTATTGAGTACGTGTAAATGTATTAAGGGTTAAACTCATAACTGTATAACTTAGGGTTTAATTTAATTGTAAAACCATTGTGCCACTGAAAAGACAATAACAACTCAGGAGGGAGCCAGTCTCGATTTCCTTTTGAGGGCCACCAGCTGCAGAGAGTTAACTAATTAAAGGAGCGTGGCCCCACAGCTGTGAGAACTCAGCAATCAGGTGTCCATTTTAGGTAGCACTTTCCTGGAGCGTCAGCTTCAGCGTCAGACAGACAAAGACATTAGAGTCCTGCGGGAGTAAGACTGACAAAGACATTAGAGTCCTGCGGGAGTCACGAGGGAGGCAAAGAGGAGGCAAATCCTACTCTGATTGAGCTAAGTATCGCTGGTGTTTTATTTTGTTTTTTAGCCCCTCATGCTATAATCATGTGTATTTTCCCCATTCCTGTTCATGTGTATTCTCGCAATTATCACTGGCCCCGTGTATCTCCTAATCGATATAACCGGCCTGCTCTCGTCTATCCCACATGCTCGACTGAGATCCAAAATCTAGTTTCAGGGGGCCTGTGGAACTGCCAGTCAGCTGTTCCTAAGGCTGACTTCATCTCTGGCTACGCTTCCCTGCAGTCCCTGCATTTCCTTGCTCTCATCCAACACATCCACCCCAGCAGCTCTCTCCACAGCATATTCCTTCTCCCATACACCCAGACCCACTGGCAGAGGAGGTGGCGCTGGTCTCCTGCTCTCTCCCAAATGGAGCTTTTCCCTCTTCAAGCTACCTAACTTCACTCCTTCCACCTTTGAATTCCATGCCGTCACAGTAACCCATCCTATACAATTAACCATTGTTGTTCTCGTCACAGTAACCCAGGGGTTCTCAAAGTTTTGATGAGTGAGGGCCAATTTAGGTACCCAATATTGGAAAAAACGGAACACAAAATAATTCTAAAACAAATCCTTTCTCTATTGTACTAACCAATTACCGCAACTCGCGAGATGCCTAGTTGCCATGCAACCAGTAGTCTAGCAAACTTTCCGCAAGCTGTCATTCATAATTTAGGAATGACAACCCAAGGGGTGCAGTTTTACCATTCTTAACCCTCTGGAGTCTAAGGGTATTTTCTCGATTTTTAGATGTTTTCTTAAATCACCTTTTAAATGTATTTCTTCTAACATGGCACCCCATGTGTTAAATATCAAAATGTTCAGGACAATCTCTAGTCTTGCTATATATGCATATTGCTCACCTTAGAGCACTGTTTGATGAGATAAGTAGCTCAAAAGCTTAAAATGTGAAATCCGATTTTTGGAAAATCTTCAAAACTCTTGTGAAAACACAAATGTACTCATGTGATCGAATTGTTTTGGTGTTTTAGATTTGGTTACCAAAGTCCTAGGATCACAAAAGCAGTGAAATATTTGAATTACACTGTATATAAATGTGTTATTCATGTCTAAAATGAAAAACATTCAATTCAAATTTTGAGTAAAATAGGTGTTTATCACTCTACTTTCACCACAGCAGGGGCTGAGATACATTAGGACTGAATAATTACTTCATATTACATACCAAGGTTCATGTGATGTGTACAAATACAAATTGAGAATTCAACCTTTTTTTTTCAACCAACAATTTATTATAAATATGTTTTTTCCAACCAACTATTTATATAAATATAAGAAACTGGAAAATCTCACTATTTACAATATTGAACATCAGAACTTTCAACCAACTATTTATTATAAATGTCAAGACAGTGTCAAGGTCTTTGTCTGTCTTCCAAGACAGTGGGTCTGGCTGCTGTGAAGATGGGGGTGATGGTGCATGGGCTGCTGTGTAGGTGGGGTGTACAAGTGCTATACGAGACCTCCTTTCTGGCTGGGTTGAAGGTGATGGCTGTGGTGGAGCCTTTGTGCTGAGGTGTATCTTGACCTGGTGGCAGCCGCAGATGGAGGTGGAGGCAGCTGTGGTGATGCTGGTCTGCTGGTCCTTGGTGGTGATGGCTCTGGTGAAGGCCCTTGAGCCACAGTAGATCTTGACCTGGGGGCCGGCACAGATGGATGTTGTGGCTGCTGGATAAACGCCACCTGTGTAGGACAATAATTACAACTAATTTCATTGAAATAAAGTTCAAGTAAAATGTTGCTCAAGCACAATTAACAATGCACACATTAAAATAAAGTTTGGGAGGTTGCAGAAGGAGTCTCTCTCGATCGCTCTCTCTCTCTCACGCACACGCGCACACACACACACACACACACACACACACACACACACACACACACACACACACACACACACACACAGGTATTTCCAGTTACTTTACATTCAGTATAAAATCACAGAAACACATATACATAGGCTACATCTGATTACAAAGTCTCATCTGTACAGGACGGTAAAATAATAACAGGCACACATATAAATAAATCTATGACAAAGTCTCATCTGTACAGAACAGTATGATAAAATAATCGATGGCAAAAACATGTCACTGTAAATGTCTCCGTTGTGGGACGAATAAATGATTAATTTAATCATCTACACATGTAATCTCACTTTTACACACCAAAATAACGTTAACACAGAGTAAACGTTTGCTAATGGAGAGTCTATTTTGTCCAATAAAAAGTTCATGACTATCGATAAAAAATATATATCAATAAACCTATTGTTCATTTTCGCGGTATTCCCCACACATTGCCAGTACACTATTACTGTAATATTTACCCTTACCCATGTCCAAATGGATCCTTGTTGTTGTCTTTGTATTCTTCTGCTTCAGAAGAGTCGAAGAATTCAGGTTCTGAGGCTCTATCTTCACTGCTGCTAGCGAAAAAAATCTCTAGCGAAGTCGGCAACTGTAAAGTTTTTTTTAGCCATTTTATCTGTCTCTCTCTCTCTCCTCAAAGACGTAAACTGATGGGAGACACGTGGTTTATGTTTTGTTTACTTGGTGGGTAGGCCCTTAGTGATTTCTCGATGTCCATTGGTCATTTCAGACCATGATGGCTGCCGGCCGAGATTTCCTTGACGGACACACAAATCCACCAATCCCACACAGTGTAAAGTCAAGCTGCTTTGAGCGGCCATATTGGCTGCTGTGCCCTGGTTACAGTCTCACAGGAGATAACGCTGGAAAGCTACTCATTCTAATTCTTACTAGATACAACCATGGATGATTCAAATATAACGCATGCATTTCAGCGTGTCACATTAACTATCGCGGGCCGCCAGAAACATTTCCGAGGGCCGCCATTGGCCCGCGGGCCGCACTTTGAGAACCCCTGCAGTAACCCATCCTATACAACCATTGTTGTTCTCTACCGTCCACCAGGCGCCTTGGGAGACTTCTTGGAGGAGTTAGATAATCTCCTCTCACACATCCCTGAAACTGGCCCTCCCGCTGTACTT